TCTCTCCACATGGTCACGGCCAGCCTCCACTTCTCTCTTCTCTCCTCACCTTTTGCCCTCCGCCCTGAATAAACCCCCTCCCCTCGTGGAACCATTTGGTCTGGTGTGGTCTGTTCTGAGATGTGTGCCAAAAATCCAACAGTCAGTGGGCTGATAACTGCCTTCCAGAGCCACTTACAAATCTGGGGTGAGAAAGTCACCATGCCCACACACTGCTTTCTGCTATCAACCCAAGGGCAGGGCTGGGTCAGGGGAGCCAGGTTACATAGTGCTCTGCAGAAAAGCGGCCATGACAATTGGGGAATCCTTTTCTCTGAAATTTTACCCTTTGCTATGGCTGACCCATTAATTCCTATTGTCAAAAAAAAAAAAAAAACCCAAAAACAAAAAACAAAAACTGTCGTGTATAGACTAGATCCAAGAAAGTAAAAAGAACTTATTAGGCAAAATATATATATAGTTCTCCTAGTCAAGGATTAGGTCTCCATATGACCCTTAGTGTTAGCTGGTCCTCCCTGTAGCCTATCCCTTACATCTCTTTTCTCCTCCTCCCCATTTAATCCTCCTGGTCCAGTCTCTCCATAACTGTACATTCTATTTTCCCTTCCTTGGGAAGTCCTTCCCTTTCTCCTAGTCTCAGATTTAACACACCTAGCCTCTGTGGATACTCACGGATGGTAATATGCCTATCAAAGACTTCAAAAACTAACATCCTTGTATACCAGAATGTGTCTGTCTGGTTATCTAGCGCTATCCATTTACCTGAGAAGTCATGGCTTTATTTATTTACTTTTAAATTTCTCACTGTGTGAATGTATCCATCTTATTATTCATTCATCTGTTGTGGACATCTAGGCTATTATGAGCAGAGCAGCAATAGTATTCCTTTGCGTTTCCTTGATAACTAAGGATGTTGAACATTTCTTTAAGTGATACTCAGCCATCTGTGTTTTGTTTTTGTTTTTTTTTTATTTTATTTTTAGAACTTCTCTGTTTACTTTTGTACTCCATTTTAAACTGGGTTATTTGCTTTCTTGATGCCCAGGGTTTTTTTGGGTTTTGTTTTGTTTGGTTTTTGATTTTTGGTGGTTTTTTTTTCCCCATTTCGTTTTGTTTTGGTTTTAGTTCTTTGTATATGTTACATATTAACTTTCTCTTGAGTGTGTCATTGATAAAGATCATTTCACATTTTATAACCTCTTTGTCCAAATGGCGGTGTCCTTTGCCTTTCATGAGGTCCTACGTATTCATTGTTCTTAGGGCCCATGCTACAGTGTCCTCATCAGAAAGTTTTTTGTGGGCCAGTGAGTTCAAGATTATTCCCCAATTTCTCTTCTGCCAGACTCCGTGTATCTGGCCTTAGGGTAAAGGTTTTGTTCTGTCTGGCAATGGGTATTGCTCGAGGTGGTGTGGATCTATTTGCATTCTTTGATTTGGGGTCCTCCAGTTTGACCAGTGCTGATTGTTACAGATGCCGCGTGTGTCTCCAGTGTGTATTTTTGGCTTCTTTGATAAAAATCAGGTGTCCATAGGTGTGTGGAAATATGTCTAAGTCTTCAATTCAATTTACCAATGTGTCTGTTTTCATGCCAATATCATTGTTTTTATTATTACATAAGACATAAGACAACTTAAAACCAAGGATGGTGAGTCAAAGAAATTCTATTTTCACCAGGCGGTGGTGGCACACACCTTTAATCCCAGCACTTGGGAGGCAGAGGCAGGTGGATTTCTGAGTTCTAGAGTTCGAGGCTAGCCTGGTCTACAGAGTGAGTTCCAGGACAGCCAGGGCTACACAGAGAAAACCTGTCTCGAAAAACCAAACCAAAAAAAAAAAAAAAGAAATTCTATTTTCTGTCCCTTAGGAGAGGTTTGTAAACTCTGCCATTTTCTTCTAACTACTTTAGTACCATTTTGGACAGACTTGGGAATGGTAGGTAAATAAGTCACATCCTAACTCAATGCCTGTGGTGCCCGTGAGTCTCACACAGGGCAAATTGATCCCGTAAAGCCTGAGAAAGACTCCAAACAGAGACTCCCATCTCAAATGCAATGGTCTGGACCCTTCCTGCTTCCTAGTTAAACAAGGGTATCCCAGAATCCAGGAAGCTCTCAGCTCCAAACATGGAGAACTGTTTCTGGATTTAAGATTACAGCTGTGTGGTTTGGGGGTAAAGTCTTTAACCTTTCAATCAGGGATTAGGGCAGCATGTCCTGTTCAGAATGTTCTGGAGATTAAAAGGAAAACTGGGTAAAATGCTTAACCCACTGCTGGTCTCTTAGTGAGCACTCAGTGAGGTGGAAATCATCTTCATGGCATTATTCAAAGATCCCAGGAAGACTACGGAAGTTTGGGCGTACAGGCTGACCTATTAAACGGACTTCAGAAGGGAAGTTTCCCCTACGAACAGTCCTGGAAGCTACCAGATACCTCTTAAACACTGCCTCTGCCATATTCTCAGGATGTTTCTCTAACAGTCTTTCTATGAAGCGGAGGGATACTGATGCTTGTCCCCTCGGTGGCAGATGTCAACTAAAATCCTTGAGAAGTGGTGAAGACCCATGTCTGAGTGTTCTGTGCTTCTAAAGACTGCTCACGGACTTTTAAAATCAGACCTGAGTGGGAATCCATTCCCCTCCACAGCAGATATGGTCAGTTTTCCCCTTCTCCTTGAATCTGATTTCTTGTTTATAGAAAGGATAATTGATACCCAATTGAAGTGTGAAGAGAATTAAATGTGAAAGTATAGGAAATGTGTAGTCGAGAAGCTGATGAGTAGGATGAACTGGGTTCCTATTTCATTCATCTTAAACAGCCCTGAGTAACTAGTCGTTCTCTGTATAGGAGCTGGCAAGTTAAGTTACAACCTGAGCTAAACGTCTTGGGATCCTGTTCTCTGCAACACCCATGAGTATACAACTTCCTTTAAAGACACACACCCTTCAACGGACTTGCTAATTATTCATTTATTTATTACAGTTTTTAAAATAAATTTATTTATTTATTTATACACCAGACCCCATTTCCCTCCAGGTTCACCCTCTGACCGTTCCACATCCCATACTTTCTCCCTGCCTCCCTGTCTCCACGAGGATGTCTCCAGCACCCAGCCCCCTCCCCACCAGACCTCTAAACTCCCTGAGGCCTCCAGTATCTTGAGGGTTAGGTGCATCTTCTCTGAATGAACCAAGACCTGGCAGTCCCCTGCTATATATGTGTTAGGGGCCTCATATAAGCCGGTGTATGCTGCCCAGTTGGTAGTTCAGTGTTTGAGAGATCTCGCGGGTCCAGGTTAACTGAGTCTGCTGGTGGCTCATTTACCTACTCTGGGTTACTTAGTCATAAATGTAACAAAATCGTTAATTTCGACTTCCTTTAGGAAGAAAGGTAAAAAGAATGGACTTTTGGTGTAAACTTAGAGTCTGACTGTAATATGTAAGTTTTGCACACGAAGAAGGAGCAACAGAAAAAAAAAAACAGGCACGAGAAAAAGACGCTGTATTCGAGGAAGACACTGCCCTGTACTAGGCGAGGCTGCCCTTCTGTTTGCAAATGACCTTCCGGTTTTCAGGCAGGTTCAAGAACACACCTCCTCCCACTTGTTTCGTTGGAAGCCAGTGTTTGACTAACCAGGACCATTCCCTGCACTGGAAGGGAGGGAGAACATTAGCCAGTAAGAAGCTCGAACCTTGGTTCTCTCTCACTCTTCCAGCGGAGACTGAAAATCTATAACCACTGCAAAACAGCACTACTCAGCCTCTTGAAAGGCTCCAGGTAGAGTCACTTTTGAATCATGATTTAACCGCCATTTCTTGTTCTGATGAAACAGGAAGATGGAACAGTGAGTGATGGCTAACATGTTGATGGCTAACTTTATGTTTAAAATCTCTGTGCTTAACAACAGAACTATAAGGTAAAATTAGACCTCCAAATGTTAAGGGCTGCTAAGGGTTAATCTATTGTTGTTGTTGTTGTTGTTGTTACATTCTGGTTCTGCTTCTGTAAACAAGCTTACGAGAGAACAAATTGTAGCTTTGTATTCTTTGCCTTTATAAATCCCTGGGCTGAGGTGTCTGGGTGCTGCATTCGGAATCCCAGCTCGGCGCCAGTGTCTGAATTAAAGCCTCTTGGTTAAAATTTATTAGTGGTCAGGCTGATGAATCTCTGACCAGATCCACAACAGGAGTCATCCGGTTAAGAGGGGCTCAGGCCTCCACGCGGCAGACTCCGTGGTGGTGGTGGTCTCATTGGCTGGCGTGCAGGTGGGATTTCCTGTCGCCATTTTAAGGAGAAGCGACTGTGCCAGCCAGTCAGTTAAGGGGCTGCACCTCAGACAAAGAGTGGGGCAGGAGGAGGAACCCGAGGCAGATGCGGCTTCCAGCTTGTTCCCCTTTCCAGGCCTAGCAAGGGTAGAGAGTCACGTGGCCGGGGCAGCAGGGCTATTGGTGCAGACCCCTTGGGTGATTGTCACATTCTGAGTCCCAAGGGGTCCCCAGAGCTGCTTTGGAGGGACTGCAGGTCTCGCGGTGGGAGGCGGGAGGCATCTTAGCCGGCTGGCTCGGGATTCCAGGTTTCCAAAGGTGTCCCCGCGTCCCGTAGTCCGCCGCCGCCTCGGGGTCGCGGGGCTACCCTCACGCTGCTCCCTTCCCACAATGCAACGCCGTTCGCTGGGGCCCAGGCGTACCCCAGGAGACGGCCCCCTGCCACCGCCCGGGCGTGTGAGCCGCTCCACCTCCAACCCCGAGGGTGCGGGTGCGGCAGCTGTGACCCCAGCTGAGGCCCGGGAGGGCGCAGGCAGGTGCGGGGCGGCGCGCAGCCTCCGTCTGCTCGGGCAGCATCAGCGCGTTGCTGGCGCATCCGCTCGCACTGCCCTTCCTGGATGCTCGGTGTCCGCCAGCCGCGGTCGCCTTGCGGTCCGACAGCCCGGGGGGGAAGAGGGGCGAGAAGGCGCGGCGACCAGCGGCATGTGACCCGCACCGCTCCGCCGCACGCAGCTCAGCTCGGCGGGCGCGCGGACAGGGAGGGACGATGGTCTGAAAGGCCGCGCTCCCGTCCCCAAACTGCAGAAGAGAAAGGGCGACGCGCCCCGCGGTAGCCAATGAGTCAGGCTGGAGCCCCTCCGCGTCGGGAGTGTGGATGTAAGTGCGAGGCTGGCGGGCAGAGTGTGGGTGGGGGGAAACTCTGATGCAACCAGCCCTGGGAGGAGGAGGAGGAGGAGGAGGTGGAGAAGGAGGAGGAGGAGAGCCGCGGCCACGCCACTCTGCCTGAAGGTCGCCTGCAAACCGGCCTTTTACCTTCCTCCGAAACCCGCCACACGGATCCTCCCCGCCCAGTCTTACAGACCAGGAGCCACCTTTCCCTAGACAGACCTTGACACAAAAAGGACATCTAACTGGCGGCGCCTTTCCCTTTATTTTTCGAGGTAAGGTGCGTTTGGAGGGCAGAGGGAGCGGCGGCTTGGAGGGAAGGGGAGTTTGAACAGGAAGGGAAGGAGGTAACTCAGCCTCCATGTCTCGTGGACCCGGGCAGAGCGCGGTGGCGCCTTTCTGGAAGGCAGAGTCCGGTGCCCTTCCCTGAACGCGGGGTCCCCAGATTCCACTGTTGCGTACCGTGCCTTACTTTGTGGACCTGGTTTTATGGAGTGTGGCACCAGATCTGGTTCCATTTTCGAGGTGTAGGGACCAAGCATGCGATTGTGAGGGGCAGAAGGAACGCCGAGGAGCGGATCAGTCTGCATCTTGGGACTGGCCCGGCAGCGGAGCCTCGGAGGCCGGCTCCCCAGCGCCGTAAACAGGTGCACGTTGGCTGCACCTCCACGGGCTCGGCCCCTGTCTCCGATCCGATCAGTGGGAGGATGCTGGCAGTGACTCACTTTCCTCTCCCGCCCTGGAGACTCTCTCCGGAATGAAGAACCAGTGATAGGCTACTTCCTTTACGAGAGCCGGGTCCGGTGGGGCGGGAGAACAAAAGGCCACTGCTTGCGCAGGACCCTTGCGCCCTGGTCTCCCCTCCCCCGCACCTGGCCCCAAACGTTGCGGCAAAAGGCTTTTAAACTGGTCGGCTCCACGCGGGGAGGAAAACGCGCCGAGATCTCCGGCAGCCCGCTTTCATCTCCCCCATTCCCCGCGACAGCCCGGCTCTGGGTGTGGGGCTGCTCCGTACCCTCGCCAACCGCGCGCGGTTCCCGGTGCATCGCCCGCCGCCTGGTTTCGGCCCAACTGTGCTCGCACTAGACACGAGTGCATATGGCGGCAAAAGGAATTTCGCGGTAAACGCGTCACGCCGCGAACTGCCTTTCACAAGCTGCCTCGGGCCGAGGAAGGTGGTGCTTACTCCAGCCCTTTGTGTCTCGCGCTGCGGCGTGGACCCGGGCTCTCCCTAGCCTGTTCCGTCGGTGGGAAACGCACTGGCTTGGGGATCGCGTACTGGTCTCAGACGGATAGACGGTGTCGTACGTGGAAGGGAGGACAGAACCCGCTGCTAGAAAACGGTATGCATTTGCAAGATCTGACACCTCCGCGTGCGGTTTTTTTTTTTTAAACTTAAAAAGAATACAGTGAAATGGAGGGGGGATAATTGTATGGTTTGCAGAACGCGGGGCCAGCAAGGCTGTAATTTGTCACCTTGATACAAGAAACAGTGCTGCAACTCGTGCTTTTTCTGACGTCAGAAGGACAACGGAAATAAAACCTGAGCTGGCTGGCCTCATTGTCAAATAACTCACCCTATAGGAAACTGGCAAGTCCCGCCACGGGTCTGGTATGGCTGCCTTAAAATGACTTAATTGACTCTGCTGTTGAGTAACTTAGTTCTCACTCAGTGTGTGGCAGAAAGCAACGGAAACGCGGCCTAGTTTGATTGAGGTCTTGATTTTAATAGGGCTTTCTTTCTTTTTCTTTTCTTTTTTTTTTTTAAGAACAGGTGTTGAATAATTAGGGATGCTGTGTAGCAGGCAGCAACTAATCAGATCAAGATCCGGCTCCTGTGCAATGTCCATTTCAACAGGAAGCAGACTATGGATGAACGCAAACAGAAATGCCAGGTGTTCAGGTTCCGAAGAAATGAGAGTCATGTGAACCCTGAGGATGCTTGAGATAGGGGACCCATTAGGAGGGGTTGTGTGAGAGGTGGCGTGTCTTCCTTTCTCAATGAAGAGAAAGAATTGTCTATGGGAATAATTAGGGAGATTTTTCAGAAGAAATAGTGCTTACTGCGTCCTGGGCTGCCTGTAATTCAGCAGATACATAAGTAGATTTGAAGATACTTTCAAGGCTTTAAACTTTGCTGTTTCTATACATTTTTTTTAAACCTTGTTTTATGGACCGAGGGTTCCGGTGAGGAAGCAGCGGACTTAAGAGGCCTGGCATCAGCTACCATGGTCACCCTTTTCCTCCTCTAATGCCAGGGATACCGGACTTGCTTAATAAATTCTTGCTGGATTGTGACCTTGGCAAGGTAGCTCACCCAACCCTTTACCCAGATGATCTCTTTTCCCTATTCCATAATTGGTCCTCTTCCCTTAAGTTTGAAACATTGCAATCTTTCTGCTCTGCTTTTCTCTCTTACCATGGTCTCTACTTGTGAGCAGTGACAGGGCATTGAAAATGTCCCTTGCTTGTCCTTTTGTCTGCATCCCCAAATGTGCAAAGCCATCAAGTGGATTGTTGAGAATCAGGAATTGTGGGCTGTGGAGTCACTGGAAGTGTCTAGGGATGTGGGAGGAAGATGCAAGCATGTTCCTAGCCAGGGAGTCAGTTCAGGCAGTGTAGCAGTCACCCAGTTAAACACTGCTCCCTTAGCTCAGTCTGGCACTTCCCTGAGTTTTACATTGGATCCTGGTTTTAAAACAGTCCGGTTTTGTAAGGCCCTCACTCTCCAGTGAGTTCTCCCTTGCTTAGAAATAGCCTGGGTTCTTTTGCCAGGTATCTGAACTCTCACCTCTTTCTTTATCTCCCAAGTGACTTTGGCTTATTCCCATGGCACACTGCAAATGCCCCCTGGCCCCAGGTATTTTTATGCCCCAATGGCTATGTGACTTCCAGTGTAGAATGCCTACTGAAATCCTGCATTTTGTGACAACCTGGTCAGGGTGCTGTTTTTCTGACTCTTAGAAGTGCTTAGTGACCACCTTCCTTTTTATAACTTTTTTTTTTCACTCCCGGTGTCACTCTGTCCCTCTGTCCGTAGGATAGAGATTTAGGCTTAGCCGGTAGCTCAGATCTGCACACTAGGCTGCAACTAAATAGCTTTGGGAACTTAGAGCAAATTGTTGAATGTCTCTGAGTTTCAGAATTCCTCCCCCTCATTTATTAAATGAGAATGACACCTATGGCTGCTATTGAGTTATCCCAGAGATTTCATTAAGATGGTGGATGATGTGAGGTTACTCAGACACTCTTATTTGTACAATTTGATGGCTTAGTTATTTGTACTCTGGTGATCATGGGTTTCAAGCCAGTCATTAATGGCAGAGGAGTTCCAATACATTGAAGCCAGTGTGGCACTGGGAAGTGGGGTTGGTAAAGTGACAGCCTCACTTTCAGAGAGGTTGCTGTAACCTATGGCAACCGATGGGCAACTCAGGCGACAGGTTGAGGCCTCACTGTCTCCATCCAGAGTTGTGTGGAAACAATGAAAGCCTGCTGGGAGACTCTTTGAAGAAGTCAGGGCTATTCAGAACATCAGCGTCCAAGTTCACTGCCAAGCTCGGACTTGGAGAAGGGTTGTTTGTTTGTGTGTATGTTTGTTTGCGTGTTGCTCCACAGCAGAATCAACCCATGTCTTTGAAAATCTACTAATTTACAGATTCCATCTCCAAAGATTCGGACAGATCAGAGAATGAAAAGAAAGCAAAAATGCAAGTAAACAAAAACCAAAACAACAACAACAACAATGAAATGGTGCCGGGTTACTTAAAAGCAAAGCCCACAAACCAAGCATCAGATTAAATGAGCATGTCCACGTTTGTCTACCTGTTGCCTGATGAAATCTTAGCCATGCGAAGCTGTGAGGTTGACTGACTTTTCCCTTCGATTTTACCAACCATCTAGCTGCTGACATCATGGGGCCCTAGCCTCAGGTTACAACGTGTAGCCTGTATTTTCCCAGGCTGGGAGGCCATTCCAGTAAGACAGCCAGTATCACATGAAGATGTAATGGGAGCATCTCAGTTTCCATCTCTTGCAAATGACGAAGGAGACAGGAAAGGAAAAGGAACGGGATAGGCTGTGGCCTGAGGTGTGGAAAAAAGGGGCTGATGGGAGAGGGTGGAGCTGATGGGAGAGGGTGGAGCTAATGGGAGAGGGTGGAGCTAGGGAAATGAGCCTTAAGTTGTCATTGTTAATGCTGTGATTGCAGACTGGTGAGCCGGGCCTGAGTAAGCTTGTGGGTATATTTTGTGTGAGTTACGTTTTTCCTTTTAAGATTATTTGGAGTTAATTGCTGGATAAAAATTAGGATGTCACTTCACATACGGATTTCCAGCCCTCCTTAAAAAATGTCAGGGGGGTGTAGTAGCGTGTGCATTTAGTCCCAGAACTCTATAAAGTCTGGCCTATATAGTGGGTTCTAAACCAGAAAAGGCGGTAAGACCCTATTTCAAACAAAACCCTAAAGCCTGACTTGTTCCCTTTGCTGATTGGAGGGCTCTGGTCTTCTCCAGTTTTGTGAGCCTATGCTGTGTTGTTAAATCTGTCTAGCCTTCCCAGACACATGAGCAGCATTTCGTCTTGACTTTACTCTCAATCTCTAGATCTTAAGACTGGCTCCCCATTAGAATCCCCTGGAGACCATTAGACCCATGGTGTATGAGGCCACTATTTATCTCTGATTTACTTTTGTAAGTTTCCTGGGTTGTTCCCATGTCCAGCTAGATTGACAGCTAGTCTTGAGTCAGCTGTTGAGATGTATCCATAGGTTCCTCTGCCTAGTTAATATTGACCTGTAAGCAGACAGATCAACCAGAGGGGGTGAGAACTTGGAGAGAGCTTGAGAGACCTTCGGTTCTTTTAGCCTCCAGACACCCAGATAGGGAAAAGAAATTGTTCAGTTTCTGCATCATCAAGGTGATCTTTGAATGACAATGTGTCCTTGGGACTTTCTTTTTATTTTCAAATTGAGGTACTTAAAGGTATCTTTCTTTAAAAGATCTAATTTTCATATACCACTTTATGGTGCTTTTAACCCCTCTACGTTTGCGTTTTTTTTCCTGGGGCATTCCATTAGGACTTGACTGTCAGCTCAACTAGGAGTTAAATACAGCGTAACTACTGCTCACTGCTTTTCATACAAGATTGATCTTTGATCACAGATATCAATGTAAATAAACATGCATACGCAGAGAATAATTCTTTCGAGTGTTCAGAGTTGTTTTTGACTGCTTAACATTTGTTGTAATTCTAGAAATCCACTTTCAGTTAGAAT